GAAGGGAGGGGAGGGGAGGGTGAGAGCGCCCCTCCCCGAGGGGAAGAGGGGTCTGGGAGGAGGGACGAACAACATCTTTAGACCGCCTACGCTCCGGGGGGATTGTGTTTTTTTTTCTCCTTGTCTGGGGGGTAGCAGGCGAGAGCCCGTGTGTTGGAAAGGAGCCGCCGTCCATCCAGGTAACCTCAGGAGGGAAAAAATATCCCGGCAAAGCAACCTAACAGCGATGTGTAGAAGCATATCTGGAAGCATTCCCCTTGAGATTCAGATGAGAATCCAGTTGTAGAATTCTGCTGTTCTCGCAGTCGCAGTCGCATTCGCGATGACAGTCGCAGTGGCAACGGCAGTCGCAGTCACAGCCTCAGCCTCAGCCTGCCTCAGCATCAGCATCAGCCTGCCTCCAGCCTCAGCCTCAGACTGCATCAGCCTCAGCCGTAGCGCTTCAGCCTCAGCCTCAGTCGAGCCTTTCAGCCTCGCCTCAGCCTCAGCCTGCCTCAAGCATCGCAGCCTGCATCAGATGAGCCTCAGCCTCAGCCTGCCTCAGCCCAGCCTGCCTCAGCCTCCGCTCAGCTGCCTCAGCCTCAGCCTCAGCCTGCTTCAGCCTCAGCCTCAGCCTGCTTTCAGCCTCGGCTCAGCCTCAGCCTGAAGCACGACTCGCCTGCATCAGCATCAGCCTGCATCAGCTTCACGCCTCAGCCGACAGCACTGCCTCAGCACATTATAGCCTGCCTCAGCGTCTGCCTCAGCAGGCCATCAGCCTCAGCCTGCCTAAGCATCAGCCTGCCTCAGCCTCAGCCTCAGCCTGCCTCAGCCTCAGCCTCAGCCTGCTTCAGCCTCAGCCTCAGTCTGCCTTCAGCCTCGGCCTCAGCTTCAGCCTGCCTCAGCCTCAGCCTGCATCAGCCTCAGCCTCAGCCTCAGCCTGCCTCAGCATCAGCCTGCCTCAGCCTCAGCCTCAGCCTGCCTCAGCCTCAGCCTCAGCCTGCTTCAGCCTCAGCCTCAGTCTGCCTTCAGCCTCGGCGTCAGCCTCAGGCTGCCTCAGCCTCAGCCTGCATCAGCCTCAGCCTCAGCCTCAGCCTGCCTCAGCATCAGCCTGCCTTAGCCTCAGCCTCAGCCTGCCTCAGCCTCAGCCTCAGCCTGCTTCAGCCTCTGCCTCAGCCTCAGCCTCAGCCTGCCTCAGCCTCAGCCTCAGCCTGCTTCAGCCTCAGCCTCAGTCGGCCTTCAGCCTCGGCCTCAGCCTCAGCCTGCCTCAGCCTCAGCCTGCATCAGCCTCAGCCTCAGCCTGCCTCAGCCTCAGCCTGCATCAGCCTCAGCCTCAGCCTGCCTCAGCCTCAGCCTCAGCCTGCTTCAGCCTCAGCCTCAGTCTGCCTTCAGCCTCGGCCTCAGCCTCCGCCTGCCTCAGCCTCAGCCTGCATCAGCCTCAGCCTCAGGCTCAGCCTGCCTCAGCCTCAGCCTGCCTCAGCCTCAGCCTCAGCCTGCCTCAGCCTCAGCCTCAGCCTGCTTCAGCCTCAGCCTCAGTCTGCCTTCAGCCTCGGCCTCAGCCTCAGCCTGCCTCAGCCTCAGCCTCAGCCTGCATCAGCATTCAAAATGTGGCCCGGAAATGAAGTCTTGGGAAGTCGAAGAACACGAAGTGGCCTACAGTTGGCTCCGGGTATTCAAAATCATGCCCAGGAATGGAGTTCTGGGAACTCGAAGACCACGAAGTGGCCTACAGTTGGCTCCGGGCACTCAAAATGTGGCCCCGGAATGGAGTTCTGGGAAGTCGAAGAGCACGAAGTGGCCTACAGTTGGCTCCGGGCATCCAAAATGTGGCCCGGGAATGGAGTTCTGGGAAGTCGAAGAGCACGAAGTGGCCTACAGTTGGCTCCGGGCATCCAAAATGTGGCCCGGGAATTGAGTTCTGGGAACTCGAAGACCACGAAGTGGCCTACAGTTGGCTCCGGGCATCCAAAATGTACGCCGGGAATGGAGTTCTAGCAGCGCCAAGTGCGATTTTGCGAGGATGTCCCAGGCGATTTGGGCTTCGGCGGCAGCCGCCCCGGGTCCCGCCCCGACCCCCCTGTGGAGTCATCTGTTGCTCTCTTTTGACACCACTAGAAACCTATCAGTCTTCGCTGTTAGGTAAAAACACACACAGACACAGAGGATCGTCGATTGCCATGAGAGTATGGGAGCATATGGGAATGGGGGGGAATACGAGAGTCCAGAAAGTATTGAACACACGGGGAGTCCTGGCATGTGTGTCTATTTGTGTGTGCCCCTGGGCCCCCTTCATGATTGCTGGATTGTCAACTTTCGAGACTGTAAGCAGTGGGAAATTCTCAGACGGGACGCCAAGCTCGCTCTCACGACATGTCTGATGGTGCGGCATGGCGAACAACTCATAAGGAAGAGGACGGAGGGAGAGGAGGGAGCGGGAGGATGGAGTTGAGAGAAGGAGAAGGGGGCGGAGTAGCAGGAGGAGGAGGAAGAAGAAGAGGAGGAGGAGGAGGAAGAAGAGGAAGAGGAGGAGGAGGAGGAGGAGGAGAGAGGGGAGGAGAGGAGGAGGAGGAGGAGGTAGGGAGGAGGTGGAGGAGGATGAGGAGGAGGAGGAGGAGGAGGAGGAGGGGAGGAGAGGAGGAGGAGGAGGAGGAGGGCGGAGGTAGGGATGAGGAGGAGGAGGAGGAGGAGGAGGAGGAGGAGGAGGGTGGAGGAGGAGGAGGAGGAGGAGGAGGAGGAGGAGGAGGAGGAGGAGGAGGAGGAGGATGAGGAGGAGGAGGAGGAGGAGGAGGGGAGGAGGAGGAGGAGGAGGAGGAGGAGGAGGAGGAGGAGGAGGAGGATGAAGGGCGGAGGAGGAGGTAGGAGGAGGCTAGGAGGCAGGACGGAGGAGGAGGAGGAGGAGGGAGGAGGGGCGAGGAGGAGGAGGAGGAGGGAGGAGGGGAGGAGAAGGAGGAGGAGGAGGAGGAGGAGGGGGAGGAGGCGGAGGAGATGAGGAGGAGGAGGAGGAGGAGGAGGAGGAGGAGGTAGGAGGAGGAGGAGGATGGAGGAGGAGGAGGAGGAGGAGGTAGGAGAGGAGGAGTGAGGAGGAGGAGGAGGAGGAAGAGGAGGAGGAGGAGGCGGGGATGAGGAGGAGGAGGTAGGTAGGAGGGGAGGAGGAGGAGGAGGAGGAGGGAGGAGGAGGAGGCGGAGGAGGAGGAGGAGGAGGAGGAGGAGGAGGAGGAGGGGAGGAGGAGGAGGAGGAGGAGGAGGAGGAGGAGGAGGAGGAGGAGGAGGAGGAGGAGGAGGAGGAGGAGGAGGAGGAGGAGGAGGAGGAGGAGGAGGCGGAGGAGGAGGAGGAGGGGAGGAGGAGGAGGAGGAGGAGGAGGAGGAGGAGGAGGAGGAGGAGGAGGAGGAAGAAGAAGAAGAAGAAGAAGAAGAAGAAGAAGAAGAGGAGGAGGAGGAGGAAGAAGAAGAGGAGCAAAGAGGAGCAGGAGGAGGAGGAGGAGGAAGAAGAGGATGAGGAGGAGGACGGAGCCTCTCATTTGGACGAGCTGCCGGGGATTCAGTCCAACCAGGCCACGGGTGAGTGGGTGCGGGGGGGGGGCGGGGTTCGTCGCTTTTGCCTTGGCTCGACTCTTTCGCCTCGGTCCGCGTGGCGGGTGGAGGCAGATGTTCATCACTACCATCACTACCAGGGTTGGACAGGGGAGCAGGCCACCTGCCGAGTAACCTGCCGAACCGCTGCGCCGCGTTCGCGCCGTCGCGGATGCCGCACATTCGAGCCGGTGTGCTTGCGTGCTGCGTTCGGGAAGCGGTCGTCCGGCGTCCCAGAGGCCGGGGCTCGATTCCGCAGCGACGGGGAGAGAGCCGGTGCATGGCCGCGGGGCCGTGCTCAAAAACGAACGCGCCTCCGCTATGCCCCCTCACTGCCTCCGTCCCCTTCCCCGCACGTCTCCGCGCGCCTTCGGTGTGCGATGCGCGGCACGGCGCGCGATGCCGATTCGCGGACCGTGCGGCGCGCGGCAGGTGGCACGCGAGCGGGGAGACACGACTGCAGTCAACCCGCATACGGTGGCTTCATGCGGCGATGGCGCGCCGGCGAAGCCGACGAAGGCTTGCAAGGTTGAACGTCGCATGCTGGAACGACGCGGAAGCACCGAGGGGCGCAGTAACGCCACAGGACCCGACGGAATCCCACTTTGAACGATCGGGGCCGCGATCATATCGAGGTTGAACGATCGACGCGGTGTCAGAAACTTTTGCGCGCGCCGACGGCTCGCGAGCCTGCCGTGGTAAGGATGAGCAACTTTCCAAGGTTACCCATGCATCCTTCCCTTTCGGCCAATCCTCAGCCGCATGCGTTGGCCGCGCCACGCTGGCCAACGCGTCGAGATGGCCTTCCGAGGCCCTTGCGTCCTTAACGTGCGTCCTGCTTATAAGTGTTGGCTGCAGGTAGGCTCTAAAAAAGTACGGCGTTCGGCGCGCGACACACGCGCTCGGCAATGCCATCTGCGCCCTCCTCGGCCCTCTCGGGCCGCGCAAAGGGGGCCCTCCCTCGGAGGTCTCCGTCGTGGCGCGGAGCTGCACCCAGACGGGTTTTGGTGCATGTGCCACCGGCCTTCGGTCTGCTGGCGCCTTTCGAGCCAGCTTCTGGACGTTGCGCGTCAGTGTGTGCGACACACACGCACACGCATACACATTATATGTGTATATACAGGAATCCATAGGACCCCAACTGGAATCCATAGGAATCCTCATAGGAATCCGTACGGCCCCCCATAGAAATCCATAGGAATCCTCATAATAACCCATAAGTTGTATCAATAACTACACACAACAACAAAAGGCGGTCCTCGCGCGGCCCCCGCGACGCCCGAAGGCGAGGCCAACTGGTCCGAAGACCGAAGCAGCGCAAACGAGCGCAAATGCTTAAATCAATGCCAAGTGTATACATATACATATATATATATATGCACATCTATATATAGAGAGAGATACATCCACAGAACACAGGTGGCGCATACAGCGTTGCTCGTGTATCACGCATGCAGCTCATACCCAACGGTCGCGGACGGATGCCGTCCATGGAGTGTTCCTCTTTTCTTGTGCGTATACGCGCGTCCGGCACTTTTGCGTCGTAGAGACAACACCAGACAAGTATTACACAGATAATGCAAGCACGACGCATACACTACGCAAACGTATCCCATGCGGAATCGATCAGCCGCATACCTCGCGCTTTGGTAGACATGCAGCAACATACGAAGCCTACGACACGTCCTTTTCAGATGGCGTGCAATCGGTCAACGCGTTCGGCGACCATGCACGTCAGCGCAATGCACAGGACAGGTGCATTGCACATGGCACGCGCAGTGCGTGCGATACGCATCAAACACACACAGTCCTCTCCTGACGCGTGAATGTGGGTGGTCGTCGTTCCCTGAACAGGTGCGCTGCACATGGCAAGCGCAGCGCGTGCGATACGTATCAAACGCACACATAGTCCTCACCCGACGCGTGAACGCGGATGGTCTCAGGAGGGGAAAAAACACACAGACACAATGAATCGTCGATCTCCAGGAAAAGATGTGGGAAAATATATGGGAAGTGGGGGGGAAGACAAAGACCCAGAAAATATGGGGAAATGTGGGGAATCCTGTTATTTGTGTGTATATTTGTTTGTGCATGTCCCAGGGCCCCTTCGTAGTCGTCTTTCCAGGAACCTCCCCATGGGGAGCGCCTTCTGGCCAGGACGCCGAGGGCGAGCGCCCAGCCCGTGGCGCCTGGGAGCCTCCTTTCCTTCCTGGAGGCGCACGCGAGCGCAGGACGGAGGCGAGGATGAGGAAGGAGGCGATGGAGGGAGGATTGGGAGGAGGAGGAGGAGGTGGAGGAGGAGGAGGAGAAGGAGGAGGAGGAGGAGGAAGAATAAGAAGAAGAAACAGAAGCAGAAGCAGAACATAAGCAGAAGAAGAAGAAGAGAGGAGGAGGAGGGAGGGATGAGAGGAGGTGGAGGGAGGAGGCAGGAGGCGTATGTTGGACGGGTGAGGATCGGTTATAGCTGAGGAGGTTGCGGACGTCGGCGAGTAGGCATGGTGGAGTAGGAGGAGGAAGGTGAAGAAGGACTATCAGCTTCGCTGAGGATGATAGGAGGACGGGAGGAGGAGGAGGAGGAGGAGGAGGAGGAGGAGGAGGAGGAGGAGGAGGGAGGAGGGAGGAGGGAGGAGGGAGGAGGGAGGATGGAGGAGGGAGGCTCGAGGCTCGAGGCTCGCTGGAGGGCTTCGAGCCTCCAGAGGCCTCATGGAGGGGATGAGGACGAGGGCGAGAAGGACTATCGGGTGTGACCGCTCCTGGCTTACAGGGTATGTAATTACTTGAACTCGTGTGTTGGGGTGAGGCGACCGTCAGAGAAGTACTCGATATCGACATTGTGGCAGCCTGCAAGAGCGAACAAGCCTCTGCCAATGGCGGTGCCTCACGGGTTGAAGCACCACCGTTGGCGCTCCCCCGATGTAGCGGGACCCCTTCTCAGGAACAGAGTCCAGTGCAGCTGGCACGCGGGACGAGGAACACTCCTCGCTTTGAGGGGTACCGTGGAAACCCATGCCGAGAAACGCATTGCTCGCCTCCAGGGTGCCCTGGGTTCCTGGGGTTCCGACGGTTCTGCGGGGGAGAGCGCGACGCTCTTGCGCACCAGAAGTCGGTGGACGTCCTGGGGTCTCAGGGCTGGGCTTCTTGTGCAAGGCTTCCTGTGGTCGAGCTCCTCGCCCCCCCATGTATCGCCCCCTCTCCTCCTCCTCCTCCTCCTCCTCCTCCGTCCTCCTCACTCCTCCTCCCCTCCTCCTCAACCTCCTCCTCCTCCTCCTCCTGCTGCTGCTGCTGCTGCTGTCGGAGAGTGGCTCCGAAAGTGCCTGCGCTCGCCAGTCCGCTCCCCTGCCGCCACGGCGTTCTCCTCCTCCGGCCTCTCGCGCGCAGGAGGCATTCGGGAGAACGCCGCGTGGGCCGAGGTCCTAATCCTTTCGTCCTCCTCCTCCTCCTCCTCCCTCATGGGGCCCGCTTGTTGGGCCTCCTCCTCCTCCCCTCCTTCCTCCTTCCTCCTCCTTTCCTCCTCCTCCTCCTCCTCCTTCTCCTCCTCCTCCTCCTCCTCCTTTCCTCCTCCTCCTCCTCCTCCTCTTCCTCCCCCGCATCTTCCCTCCCGCACCCTCCCCCTCTCCTCCTCCTTCTCCTCTTACTCCTCCTCATCCTCGTCCGCTCCGTCCTCATCCTCCTGCTCCGCCTTCTCTCTATCCTCTTTCCCCCCCGCCCCTGTCTCGCTCTCTCTCTCTTTCTCTCCTCTTCTCGCTCGTCCTTTCCCAGGCTCTCGTCCTCCGCCCGCGCCTCCCCTTATGTCCTCTGCCAGCCCCTTCCGCTGCTCCTCCTCTTCTCGCTTATCTTGGCATCAGGGGTATTGTGAATGATGTTGTTATAATTCGGGCTGTCGTCGTCTCTGATAGTATTGATAGTATCAGTATTACTAGTACTACTAGTGTTATTGTGATTGATGTTGTT